GGATAGTCAATTTTATTTCAGAAACCATAAAATGTACTTCATAAACCGTAAAATGTACTTCAGAAGACGAAAATTCGTACGCATTGTAATTATTTAAATAGTATATATTATACATAGAACTACACTGCCTTCTTATTAACAAAGCCATGATAAAGTATGCATGGTTACGCCGATGATATTTTTATCCTAAGCAGAAATAGGTTTAAAGATACCATGTCAAACCTTTTATAAATTTTTTATTATTCTTTTTTTTTATAGATTTTGATTTTTTTAGTAGGTGAACTGTTTACAGTAACTCAAATTTCTGGGAGTTAGTAAAGTATTCAAAATTCCCGGACCTTCATTTGAACCTGCCGCAAGCTAATGGGCAGGCATCGAGTAATCCAATCCAAATTGGCAAACCATCAGATGAAAGAAAACGCAACGCTCTTGACTTAACTTCCACAAAAATTTGATCGGGAGTGTTATCNGATAGTGTCTCGTTTCGTTTTCAATGGGTAATTAAGTTTAGAGTTGGCACCAATAGAGAAGAAACTGTCGATAGTCATAAAGACGATCGATGGCGGCTACAACTATCGATAGTAACAACTAGAGATGGGCACGGACCGGGCTTTTGGCAGGGGCCCTGCGTAAGCCCGCGGGTACGGACCGGAAAATTTGCTGTCAGCACGAACTCGTGCGTGCATGGGCGTTCAGTAAAATTTCATAAAAGCACGAAAAAGCCCGTTGCTAATACTACAAATTTAGATAAGCTTTTGTTTTTATACAAAAAAAAATAGTACATCTTAAAAATCTTTTGATAAGAGAAAAGTATAAAAGAAATATTTGGAGACCGATAGAAAAAATAAGATAATTAGAAGTTTGGTTTACATATCTGTACATAAAATACTTTCCACTTTTTCTACTTCCCAGAAAATATATTATACAAATCTTTGATGTAAAAAATTGATTCGCTTAAGTAAATATACATACATAAACACAAAATTAAAAATATGTACACATGTATACATACAATAAAAGTTGGCTCTTTATTTCCGGGCTGGGACGTGTACCGTCGAGCCGGGCCCACTAAAATTCTTAACGTGCAGGCTCGTGCGTGTTTCTGAAAGTTGATTTCGCACTCGTGCCGGGCCGAGTTTTTCTCTCTGACTGCCCACCGACGAAGCGCCCTTCCGTACTTGCCGTCCGTATCAACATATCAAATTGCTGTTGATAGATTTATAGCTACGGTGACCAGATTTCTGCGGACAAAAATCGGGACATTTCCAAAGTATCGAATCCGACCATACAATTTTGTTGTTAGAATAAAAAGGCATACCATTTTTTGATACAGCTTTATTTAAAACAAAGCCGAGAAAAAAAACTTAAAAAATGATCGCAAAAATTATACACAAAATATAACGGTGGCGAGAATGTAGATAGGGAAGAGACATTTTCGCAAGTTTTGACTATTTTTCTTTGTTAAAAAAATTTGTATAATTTTTTTTATGAATATATGGCTTACTATCTATAAAACCGAGTAAAACTAAATTTCAAACCTTGTAGAACATTCGACGTACTTTAACAAAGGTTGATAAAAAGTTTAAACATTTTAATCAGATTTTTATAATTGTTTCGAGTATACAGTTTTGTAGCCAATCCAATTCAAAGGGCAAGTTTGAACTTATCGTTGATTTTTGGCAATTTTTTGTTCGCGCATCTTCTTCCATACAAAATATGTTCAACAATTTTTTTGTATGGAGAAAACGGGCAACACCTTCCACAAAAAACATTTTCTAAAAATCAACGGTAAGCCCTAGCTACTTAAAATTTGCCTTTTGAATTAAATGGGCTACAAAGCTGCATACTCAGAATTTTTCTACGAAATCTGCGTAATTATAAAGCTCAAAATTTGTACGAATCTTTGTCGAATTTAAAAAATGTTTGTACAACGTTGGCATTTTCACTTACATGGTCTTTGTTAAATAACGCGCTACACTTTCATAAAAATATAAAAAAAGTAAGTGCGCCTGGGCCACACTGGAGAAGTGAAACTTACGTTACATACATATCTATTTTGTCTCATAACCAATATACATACATACATACAACTGCTTTTGCTTAAGGTTATATTTTTTCTTTCTTCTATCTAATTACATTTATGTTATTCTAACGAAAAAAATCAATAAATATCGATACCAAAATCGATAAATATCGATAAAAAATCAATAAAAATATCGATAACAAAATCGACAAAAATATCAATATCAAAATCGATAACAAATAAAGCTAACAAAATAGTTAAAAACATCGATTAGAAAATCGATAACAAATCGATAAAAATATAGGTAACAAAATCGATAAAAATATCGATTATTATATCCATAAGTTCCGAAAATATCGATAGCAAAATTGATAACAATATCGTTAAAAAATCAATGAAAAATATCGATTATTTTATCGATAAGTTCCGAGAATCCCGAAAATCTCTAAAATCCCAAAATAGTTCCCAGATTAAGTCTCTGTGTCTCGCTCTATATCCTTTCCTCTTTAATTACCTTTATTTTAATCTTTCTTCCCCTATCTTCATCTTTACTTTAATCGGTATCCTCATCCCCCTCTTTGTCTTTACTTTTATGTTTATCATTTTCTTCATCTACATATTCCCCTTCACCTTTGCCCTTATACAATATAAGTAAAGTGTTTAAATTTACCTGGGTCTTCATTTTTGCCTTTATCTTTACGCATCTTTGTTTTTGCTAAAGAAGTTTGACTTCAATAAAAATTTGATAGTCGCAAAAAGAATATCCAAAGTATGCTAAAATGTATCTTCCCTATTTATATTTTCGTCACTGTATGAGATTATATTTTTCATAGCCATGAATTTTTTAGGAAATTAGTATCTATTATATTTTATAATTTCACTAAATTCAAGTTAGAATCGTTTCATGAAAAAAAAAACTTAGCAAATAATTATAAAAAACCTTAAAAAATTCAGACAAGAGTGATAGACTACAATATGCCTAGAGTACCAGTTTGACCGAATAAAATATGTGCTTTGTTGTTTGTGCTGCCACGTTGGTACGAAAAATAGTTTTTGGGCCAGAGTACAGGGATATGTTATTAACTTAACAAAGAAAGAAAATCGGGACTTAAGCGGTACAAATATGAAAAATCGGGACACTTATATGTCCCGATTTTTAAAAAATATTCAGCGGGACATTTTCTAAAAATCGGTACTGTCCCGCCAAAATGGGTACGAATGGTCACCGTATTTATAGCCCATTTCTACCAACAGCTTAACTGCAATTAAGAGGTAATCAGATAAGTTCAAATAAAGTTAACTCGGCGTGATTAGCAAAGTTTATTTATTTTTTGCTTTCGATTGGAAATGAATGTACGGAAATCACATAAGATAGATCGTGTCAGCTGACACGGTCGCCGATTTTACCACGGAGGCTAGTTGAACTATAAGCATTTACTTTTTACTTTTTGTAATATCGAGTCCTAACTGCCAAACAGATGTAAGCGACATAATTTTTTTTTACTACAAAAATGCTTCTATATGCTCTGGGAACATTTCTACATGAAAAAGATAATTTTTGAAAAAAAGTCGCTTACGCCTTTTTGGCGGTTAGGGCTAGATATGTATATCACTAAAAGTACTGTGTACAAAAGTACTCTGTACTTAATAAGTACTTATGAATTGATTAAATACTAAATACTTGCTTCTTAAGCAGGGATCACATCGATCGATTTGTAAATTTGTACAGATTTGTCCATTTTATCGTTACAGAGTGGTGTTGTTTGGAAAGTTGTTATTGAGCAGTACCCATTCTCGATAAACATATCTAGACAACACCACTGTCAAATGTACAAATCGTGTGATGCTTGCCTTATTATAAATATTCAGAATTTCGAGATTTTCGGTACTATTTCGGGTCTGCATATCTACATGAGTAATGAAGCTCGTTTCTTTATTCTGGCCAGTAGAGGTTGAATTACGAACAAGTAATTTTTAGCAAAAAAAACCGCCTTCAACTCTCATATAAAAATATATATATATATATTTGCATGGGACCACCTCTGAGACACTACCTTTCCGATGCAAATTATCGAAATCGGTTGACGTGGTCCAAAGTTATGCGGTAACATACATTAAAAAATATATATATATATATATATATTCCGACGAACTGATAACCTCCTCCTTTTTTGGAAGTCGGTTAAAAACAGGAGACACCAGATCACATAATGTGCCGCCCTAGAGCACCAACAGAACCTAGAAGCACTTGACCTATGTAAATGACAGTTCGTAATTGGAACTTTCGATGTTTGTCAACGACACGTGAATATAGTTTGAAAAAATATTTTATCGCTAATGAAATCAATTACTACTCGTACTATATAAACTTTCCAAACTATCGATTGCGAAAATAGTTCATACGTATAACTAACTCTGTATATATTAACGAACATATCGTTACCTTAATATAGAAAGGCCCTAACTCACAACGTCGCTGAAATGCAAAAAAGCCGTAACTAACTAAAATTTTGTATTGCATAAAACTATGTGGGGACTGACAAATCGATAAATGTGTAAAAATCAATCAAAAAGTGAATGCTTCATTTATCTTTATTTATGGCTTTTTGTATTTCAGCGACGTAGTGAGTTAGAGCCTCTCTATATTGAGGTACATCGCGAAGCTATCTATATTACTTTCTGTGACAACTCGATGTTTTATGGGTCATAAGAATACGTATAGGCAACGATTTAATCTTATTTCATAAGGTCTGCAGAACTGGGATTAACTTGTCAAAAACCTTTCTTTTCGCTTTTAAGTATTCTTAGGCGATTTCTTATCACCAGCCCGCACGTTGCTAGACATGCTCGTATGTCACGTGTTTAATCTCCATCAAGTAAGCAGCTCAATATATTTCCAAAGTGAAAATCTGGTATAAAAATCACCGGTGCAAGCAAGTCGATGATATTGGTAATTAGCTAAATCATTAGAACAGTCATGAAGGCAGTGATCTTGTTACTACTGGCACTCGCAGCAGGTGAGTCCTACTACTTCAAAAAAGAAGAGGGCAAACACTTTTTTGTTAACTCCTTTTCTTCGAATCCTACAGCTGTGGCCATTCCTATTGATGAGGGCAGGCAATCTGGTGAAGGTGGTTGGTATGTGCCACAACTGGATGGATCCTTCAAATGGATGACCTGTTACTGAAGCCGAGGAGCTACGTCAAGCACCAATGGGTCGTGCAGCAGCTTTAGTTTATTTCCACTTGTACACCAGCGAGAATCCAAGCACTGCCGATACACTTGTTACCGGAGACAGCCAATCTTTGAAAGAATCCCATTTCAACGCAGCTAATCCCACAAGGATCATTATTCATGGCTGGCAATCAGACTCCGATGCCGACTTGAACCCACTGATCCGCGATGCATATTTGTCTACTGGAAATTTCAACATCATTTCAGTAGACTGGAGCGATAAAGCACAAACTATCAACTATGCCGCCGCGGTGCTGCGTGTTCCCGGTGTTGGTAAGCAAGTTGCTGGCTTGATAGACTTTTTGTACAAGGAAGGTGGTCTATCTTTCGACACATTGCAAGTGATCGGTCACAGTTTGGGTGCCCATATTTCCGGTATTGCGGGCAAGAATGTGAAATATGGACGTATTAATCAAATCACCGGCTTGGATCCTGCTCTACCCATGTTCAGTTATGATGATCCCTCTAGTCGTCTGAACCAAAATGATGCCGCCTATGTTGAATCTATTCAGACGTGTGGTGGTCTTTTGGGCTTTTTAAGGCCAATTGGCAAAGGTGCCTTCTATCCCAACGGTGGCAAGAGTCAGCCTGGCTGTGGAATCGATGTTGCCGGTGCCTGCGCGCACCGACGCTCATGGATGTACTTTGCTGAAACTGTAAGCAAGAATAATTTCCCATCCATGAAGTGTGAAGATTATGAGGCGGCTGTTGAAAAGTCCTGCGGAAAA